ACAGAGGGAGCTATGCCTGCGAAGCCAGCCTGACACATGCAGGGAGGCAGTTCACTGTGTCCCGGAGAATTGCAGTGAATGTCAGTAAGTATGCTCATGGTCACTGCTTGAGCCTGCAGCTCTGTGGGAGATGGCGCTCTTACATTGAGATGAGTGATTGATACTCCTGAAGGTGTTGTATCGTAAATCAACGAACTAGATACAAGACGCCTTAACAAGTCAATTCATTAGGAGCTTTTTATTGCATGCGGGTTCAGAGCAGAATATCTCTGTCAAATTCTGAACAAACGAAGGAGCATTCCCTTTTTATATCCTTCTAGGTTTTTGTGTAAGTTATTATTGCCAACAACCTGTAACCTTGAATATATATCATATCTAACAAATACCTGGCATGAGAATATGTTCAGTATCAGCATATCAGCCCCTTACATTAGATAGCTAGCTTGCAAGGTCAGACAGTTAAGTTTATCTTTTCTATTATTCAAGCTAAAAAACAAAGTTATATTTTATAGAATAAGAGACTGTCTAAAAATAACATAGCTGACTTAAAGAGCAAGGGACTATCTAAAAATAGCAGAGAATTTCAAACAGCAGTTTTTCCAAATGAGGAATTATTACGCCTCAAAGATTAGCAGGTTCTCACATGTCACTATTAGAATCAGAGGGTAGAAAGAATGAGGCATGAGCAATTTAATTTCCTCATCTGAGAAAACAGAATTCTCAAAACCCTTGGTCCACTGTAATTGAAACACACACACATTCTATATGTAAGTAGCTATTGGGATGCCTGGCCAAGAATAGAGCCTTAGTAAGTGGTGGATATTGTGAAAATTACTCTGTTTCCCTGAGCCCTCACTGGTGTGACTCTTTCGGTGGCCATGCCAGCTTTGGTCTCTGAAATTGGTTGCAGGATGCCTCATGCCCATGGGGTCTTAGTTCTCAGCCCAGAGAGCTGGATTTCTTAAGCATATGCCCTGAAAATTTTAAAGCCAAATCTTAGGGGTAGAAGAAACCCGAACTAGCAATGTCGCTTGAGCCATTAAGTTTGCAGAGGTTCCGGAGGAGAAGGCCTCCTGCCCTTACGAAGTGGTTAGTGGAGGCCACAGGCCGAACCCAGGCCACAGGGCCGGGCAGCGGGTTCTCTCTAACACACTCAGCAGGTGCTTCTGCTCGCTGCCTTGGCTTCTTTCCCAGTAGAGAGTTGTTTTCTATATTTACTCCTCTCAATGCAAAAAACTGAAGGCTAAATACATCTTTATTTTAACATTAAATTTATTGGGTAACATTGATTACTAACATTATGTAAACTGTAGGCGAACAATTCCATATAGCACATGTCTGTATGCATGTCTTTGCCTTGCCCCTTCATGTCTGTCACTGATTTCTGTCAGCCTTCATGTCCTAGGAATGCTTAGAGATTTCTTGATGGTGTGGCTGTCTGAGGAGGTATGTCCAGCTTGAGTGGCTTCCTGTTTCCCACCTGGAGCCCCTGACTGTGAAAATTAATTGCATTAGTTGTTACGATTTTTATGCTTTGGGTTTTATGCTAAGTGATACAACTCTGAAAGTAGGCACTTTGTGTTGGTCACAGTTGAATCGCTAACACTGAACCCAGTGCCTGGCTTCGTTAGGCATGGAGCTATGTGTGACTACTCCTATACTTTCGTTTTACCTGTAGCAGAAGGAACTCTTTGAAAGGCAAAATTTCAAAGGCATCTGAAGAATAAGTCAGAGGTCACTGAGTCCAAGAGTCTAATTTTATGTATTTGAAGTAAACATTTATTTTGATCTATTGTATACCCCAAAATTGTTAAAATTTGATAAACAAAAATTTTTAAAAACACTACACTTTGTTTTTTTCTGTTGAGAAGCTCTCAGCCTAGTGGTAGTGGAGCTAGAGAGCATTTCACATTATGTGGTGAGGACAGTTATAGACACTGTCTGAGGGAGCAGGAAAAGATTCAGAAGTTGCCCCATGGTGGCAAGTAAATGGCCTAAAGGCTTCAGAAAGGAAATGTCATCTGAGCTGAATTGTGGAGGATGAGTAGGGTTTATGGAAATAAAGAAGAGCGAGGAGGGGCAGAGAGAGTGTAAGGCAAAGCATAGAAGTGTCTGCCATTGTAGATTATGTTGGATGTAAAACTAATCTAGACAGAGCATATGTAAGTACAAGGTGAGGAAGCCATAGAGTCACATGGGCAAGGTCAAGGGGACCGGTCACATGCAGGTGTATCAGGTTGCTTCTGAAGAGCCCTGGTTCGGGTGCAAGTACAGAGCGACAAGGTTGTGTTTGTGATGGTGAAAGTTTTGAGATGGCTTGGGCAGGAGTTGAAGAGGATCTGAGGCCTGGGCCATTTAGAATGCTTCTTCAATGTCCAGAAGAGTGTTGATCAACTAAACTTGGATGGAAGCTGTAGGGCGTCTTCTCAGGCAGTCATTCAGCGACTCTTCACTCAGTGCCTAACAAGGCCAGGTCCTGTGCTAAGCAGAGAGAACATGATGGTGAGGAAAGCAGCCAGGTCCACTGCTCTGCCAGGGCTTTGAAGCCTGAGCAGGGAGGGAGGGAGAAATTTTTCAGATAGTGTACTAATGATAATAACTAAGGAGATTAATGCAATGAAGGAAAGGAAGATAGAGTAAACAGACAAGGACCCATTGAAAAGTCAGGGAAAGCTTCCTGATACTGGTGATGCGATGGGCAGGAGTATTCACTGAGGGATGGAATGGATGAGCTCTTTTGAGACTGAGGGCACAGCCCAAGTGAGGGCCCTATAACAAGACAGACAATGGCGTTTCTGAAGGGTGGAAAGCAGACAGGTTGGCTGGAGCTAAGGTGAGTGATGGAAATCATGGTGGGTTATAAAGTTGGAGAAATAGTCAGGAATATGCAATCTAAAGTGGGAAGTATGGATCTATCCTACGAAAAATGGCAGAGAGGTTGAGAGCAGGCTAGCTGATGTGACTTACATTGCTGAAAGCTCACTGTGGCTGCTGCACCGGATGATCCCTACAGAAACAGGAGTGGTGGTTAGTAGGCAGGTGAAGAAATGCAAGTGAGATGTCAAGTAGGTACAGGCAACATGATGGCCCTGAAGATGGAGGGATGTGATGTGATGGATTAGAGGCATTTTAGGAGGTAAAATCCACAGGTCTTAGTGTAGGATTGAATGTGAAGTGAGGGATGTGGCATGATCAAGGAAGCTAGGCTTTTGGGCATACACAAGTGATTGGATGATGATATTATTCAATAAAATAAGGTAACGTTAGAGGAAAACTGGGGTTAGGAATGTGATCATGAGTTTGGTCATGGATAAAGTGAGTACATGGACAAAGTGAGTACATGGATAATGTGAGTTACACGGATAAAATGAGTACATGGATAAAGTGAGTACATGGATAAAGTGAGTACACGGAGAATGTGAGTACATGGTGGTTTTGAGTTGCTCAAGTGGAGACACTGATGAGGCTGTAGCCTATGTGGGTCTGGATCTTAGAGAAAGAACTGGAGATAGTACAGCTCCTTACAAGGTCACTGGCCTTGAAGTGGTAATTGAAGAGCTGGGTGTAAACGAGAGTGCCTAAAAAAGAGGGTTTAGGAGTAAGTAGTCACAGACTGAGAAATGTTAAGAGGTAAAATTAGTTTGACTTGGTGATTGGTCATTTGAAGAAGGTGAAGGAAAAGCTGTTGCCTAGAATGACTTTTAGATTTTAGATGTGAGTGGTCATGTGGAAGGCGGCAATTATCTAGCTGGTGATGATTTCTGTTTGGGATGCACTGAATCTGAATAGTTTGTAGAAGGTGCCAATATTATTGCCATCATAAAGGATGTATGTTTTTGCATTTTCCTAGTTTCCTTTTTTAATAACTTCCACATCCCACCAAATGGATAGGAAGAATATGGGACTGAGAGAGTGACTGTTAAATTTTGGTGGACAAATGAGGAAGAGAAGAAGTACAGAAAGATGAAAGGGAGCGGGGGTCCATGTCATATGAGGTAGGCAATTATAAAGTGGTGTTTAGGGATGAAAGAGCTAAAGAAAAACAGGAGGGAAAGGACAGAAAAGACATGAAAAACCAGGGTTGGGGGACGGAGGAACGGGAATAAAGACAAGACATTAGGGTCATTGTTTCTATCTAGGACCTAGGCCAGAGCTTTAATAATAGCCAATGCTTTAGAAGTATATTTAGATTATCAGAGACTTTTATTACATAACTAGGGGCCCAGTGCATGAATTTGTGAACCTTGAAATGAACTGTGGGCTGTGAGGCTGCAGTGGGCACAGGAGTGGGTCTCAGTCCATCCTCTGTGCCCCTGCCTGGCCCCTCCCACCATGGCCTCTGGTCCCATCTGTGGGCAGCCCTGCTCCCAGTGCTGCTGCCACTCCCATGCGCTGATGGCACGGGCCCCGCCCATCAGCGGGTGCGAGCGAGGCTGGCACTGTCAGTGGGTGTGAGCGGTGGCTGCTGCTCAGATCACCCCTCAGGAGCAAGGGGAGGTGGAGAAACCCTCAGGGACAATTGAGGCCAGCAGCTGCCGCTCGCACCTGCTGACGGTGCCAAGCAACCGGGACCAGTGGGTGTGACTGGGACCAGTGCTGGCAGCAGGTGTGAGTGCCAGGCAGGACCAGGGCATGCGGGAGTAAAGAATTGTCAGTAACCACCAGAGGCTCGCCCGGATGACAGCGACCAGTGCCCTGCCTTGGTCTGGTGCTCCTGCTCACCTGCTCCACCATCCTGCCATGGCCGATACCCGCCATATCCCGTGTGCACCCCTGGTGGTCAGCGCAAGTCATAGCGACCGGTTGTTCAGTTGTTCCGCTATTCGGTCTATTTGCATATTAGGGTTTTATATATATACTAGAGGCCCGATGCATGAAATTTGTGCAAGAGTAGGCCTTCCTACCCTTTATACCAAATATGTAAATACGAGAGGCCCAGTGCATGAATTTGTGCATGTGTGGGGTCTGGCCAGCCCACCCTGATCAAGGCCAATCAGGCTGGGCTGACTTGGGGGAGGGGACATGGGATGTTGGCCATATGGCCCCGCCCCCTGGTCGAACTCCCGGTAGAGGAGACAATTTGCATATTAGCATTTTATTATATAGGATATAATGGCAAAGCAAATTCTCTTGATAGGCCAGCTTTTAGGTTTTTTCCTTAACAATTCAATTATTTTTGGTTTAAAAATATGCATTTATACAGTGACAAAACCACCAGAGGCTCGCCCGGATGACAGCGACCAGTGCCCTGCCTTGGTCTGGTGCTCCTGCTCACCTGCTCCACCATCCTGCCAAGTCCGACACCAGCCATATACAGTACATGCCCTCTGGTGGTTAGTGCACGTCATAGTGATCAGTTGTTTGGTTGTTTGGTTGTTCTGCTGTTCAGTCTATTTGCATATTAGGGTTTTATATATAGAGAGCTCATCAGTTTATATTTATACCAAATATGTAAATACGAGAGGCCCAGTGCATGAATTTGTGCATGTGTGGGGTCTGGCCAGCCCACCCTGATCAAGGCCAATCAGGCTGGGCTGACTTGGGGGAGGGGACATGGGATGTTGGCCATATGGCCCCGCCCCCTGGTCGAACTCCCGGTAGAGGAGACAATTTGCATATTAGCATTTTATTATATAGGATATAATGGCAAAGCAAATTCTCTTGATAGGCCAGCTTTTAGGTTTTTTCCTTAACAATTCAATTATTTTTGGTTTAAAAATATGCATTTATAGAGTGACACTGTCACGGCATGTGTTATGATTTTTCTTGACAAATGTTTTTTGAGGTTCTGTAAGTTTTTTAATGCTATTATCACATTAAAGTCATTGGGAATGTATTGTATGTGATTCTAATGCAATTTCATGTGTGATTTCTTAGCAGAAAATGTTGGATATGAAGGAAGAATCCCTAAAATAACATATCCAATAAACAATACAATTGAAGCACAACTTGGTGAGTAAAGTTATAAAAGCCATTGAAATCATTAAGGGTAGAAATCAACAGCCTAGTGAATTTCTTGAATTTCAAGGATGAAGAAAATTCTACACACATCCTGTTTTCCAGCTTGGAGGTGCCTGAGCTCCTCAGGAGAGGCACCAAAACAACAAACCCAGGGAGCCGAGTCCTGGGCAGTGGTGGTATCCAAGGACTGGCAGTGAGCACGGCTGGTCTCTGGTCTAAGAGAGTGAATTTCAACCCGCTGGCCTCAGGCATTTTACAACCTGCACTACCTGATGTGTAGTCAGAGGCACTGACCTCTTCCCTTATATTGTCAAATTAAAAACTGTCAACAGCCAACACAACAACAGCCATCCAGGGTGAACGAATCAAAATTATACCTATTTTTTTGTCAGATAGGCAAAACATATATTTTTTGGTGTGCTACAAATTTTAGTAATTAGTTTATGTGTGCCATGAATTGAAAACAATTGGAAATCATTGGTCTAAATGATTAATTTAAATCTGTTTATGCAAAGGCAATGAAAATGTAAAAATAATTCCTGAAAGAGATGATAAAACTACTAATATAATCTTGGTCAAGAATTCTGAATGATCTAATCTCGTACTGGAAATTATTTTAAAGGAGTAGAGAGAATTATCATGCTATTTTCCTTATTTTACTTAGGAAGGGACCCGTGAACATTGCCTCAGTTTATGATCTAAGTGAAGAAAAAGGAGCTCAAATTATTTTTTAAATTGTAAAGGTAATTGCTAATAAAATACTAGTTGAATACTTTCTGAAGAAAAAAATAAATTAAACAAATTATTATTAAAAGATAAATGCTGAGGTTGAATCAAATATTAAAATCTGGTTACATGCTATTTTTAAAAGACATAGTTCTAAAATACATGACCTAGAAGATTAAATATAAATTCATATGCCTGTATAACTTGGCAATATGAATCTTTCAATCTGATAAATGTCTTTTAATGCAAAAAATTAAATGACAAATTGAATCATTTGATACTAATAAAAATTATAATTACCCCTCTCCCCTCAAAAAAAGTTATGTGCCAAATAACAGTGCATCAAAATATTTGAAGCTAAAACTCTTGGATATACAAAAGCAATACGATAAGACAATGCAATTATTTCAATTATAGTGGGAGACTTTAACATACTCTGGATTTGACTAATTTGTTAGTCAAAGAAGGATCTGAAAAATTATAGTAACATGATAAGAACAATGTATTAAATAAATCACACTAATACAAATTATGAAAAACTCAAGAGTCCCAGAAGAGGAAATCAACAACTCTATCTTCTATTCATTTGCTTTGCTGGTTAGATTTAACTCACAGCCATAGTTTCAGATTACTTAGAAAATAATGGCAGTGAAAACATGTCAAGCTTCATGGAATGTGACCAACGCTGAATCTAAACAAGATACAAATATCATCATTATCAATAGTAAGTGCAGAAATAATAAAAATGCATAAATTAATCATTTAACTTTATAAAAGGGGGGCAACAAAATGACCCATGGCAAAAAATAACAAAGATAAAAGTAAAAAGATCATGACTTTATTAAATGGTAAGTTCCAGGGTTGATTCTGGGATAGAAGGGCTTGTGGTGGGGTGGGGTGGGGTGGGGTGGGGTGGGGGAGATGAAAAGAAAAGATAGAGAACCTCCAGTAAATGTAATCCCCCAAAGGTAGAGAAACTCAAATATGAAAGAAATGAGAAAGCTTATCAAGCAATAAGTGGAAAGGAGATAAAATCTTTTAAAAGGCGTTGGTCCTACATACATATTTTAATAAAGGTCTTGTAAACTTTCAAGAAAATAACAAAGCTCATAACAGGATATTTGTCTACATATCACCATGTGACTTCACCAGTGGATTTCACAAACACCCAGAAAAGATGAGTATATCTGCTATTGACTCTCTTAATTAACTCCCCGCCTTCTTGTCTTTGAAAATTCTAGCCAATGTGTTTAGACACTAAAGAGAAAAGAGGTGTAAACTGCTGTGAAAGAGGGAGGGGGTAAACATATAATTATTTTAAATGACCTATAGATATCTACTTGGAAATTATAAGAACATTCTCTAAAAAAACTATGATAACTAGCAGTTCTCCTGTAAGGAATTCCAATATAAAATAAACTTTCAAAGCTAATAATGCCTGAAATAATCATATATTATGTAATTAGAGAAATGGCATCCAAAATTGCAACAAAATAGGAAAATATTAAGAAATAAAAGAACAGGAAATTTGAAAGACCTGCCTACATAAAAAAAAATTGCAACATTTTAAGCAAGGACATTAAAAAAGACAAGTCTTTGTAATTCCTTAGCATGTTTCCAAATGGGACACTCAGTATCAGAAGGAGGTTATTTCTCTCAAATTAATGTACATGTTTAATATATCATCAATTAAATGCCACCGAATGTCCTGAAACTTGACAAAGCTTTTCTAAAGTCATGTCAAAAAATGCTGGCAAGAGTCAGCAAAGAAATAATCGAATAGAAGAAATTTACTATATATTAAAGTGTATTATAAAGTTATAATAAATACATATTGATATTTGCATACAAATAGGTTAAAGTAACATAAAACAATAAGCAGATGCTGGAATATATAGGAATTTAGTAAAACAGATTTGGGGCATTTA